TATATATATAGAAAGGCGGACTTGATTTGACAAAAACACATTTTTCTGCTCGATTAATAAATCCAGATTTTATCGCATTCAAGGTCTGAAGCGCAACTCGGAGATGAAGATGCTAATAGCATCGGCGCGTATTACTTTTACTAAAATATTGCCAAGAAATTTATGTTCTCATAGATGACTACATAAAGTAAACGTGCAACCCTTAAGAGAGACCCTACTATATTGGTAAAGCAAATATAAGATCATCCTCTTCATCTATGTTCGCGACTAATACTGATTCTCGATGGTCTTTTCTAATCATTTATGTCCCTAATTTACGCAGTTACATCAATATCATAAGGCACACCTATCGGATATATTTGATACGGGCGAGGTTTTTAGGTGGCACAATAGTGTGAAAAATTTAGCTAACGAATAAAATGCAAACTCGTACTTGATAAACTGCTTAGCCATTTGAGCAATGTATGGCGGAAATATAACGTGTTTTATCGCGGCCGAAATCCACTTTTCTTTTCGAGTACTGAATGGGTAATTTTGATAGACATATCTTTTAAGTGCCCATTGTCGATCATAGTCATCAAGTCAATATGTAGAATATAAGCATACACTGTGGCAGCTACACTGATAAAAAGGCTTGGTCTGTGCAGAAATCCGATTTGGATTAGCAGTACAATAATGTCAATGTAAATCAGATCTAGGTCATCATATTATTATTCTATCTCAAGCATTCCGATTTAGAGTAATTTTTATAATTTGTAATTGCTTAGCTCATTCACTTACCGCAGGCCCCAGTAGTATCGACATATATGCGTTTCTGGTTGATGCAGGATGCCATTTTGAGCTTGCACTCTGAGGAGTATGTGACCCCATCAGAGCCACAGACGGGCGCAAACGTATCCGAACATGTCCTCCGGCAGCGACAGTACGCCTTGTCATCGCTCACGTGACACTCCGCACCAAAGCGGCAGTATATCTTCTCGCAAGGCTCTGTTGAGTACACGTATACAAATAGGCGCACAACACAATTCTCAGTTAGATAGGACAAACAAGCCATAAAACTCCGTTAGTGTCACAAGAAAGCAAAACGTACTATCAGTCATGTCAGTTTCTCTTTAACTATGGAACGAATGCGTATTTTTTTGCTGTTAGCATTTAGAAATAAAAATCTAGATGAGCATGTATGATATTACGTTTTTGGTACATTGAACGTCCGTGGACCATTGCTCCGGCCTTCCACGACCTGACTGAAGAACTTAAAACATAAATGCCCTAGGTGTACACCTACTTGTATAGCGCATACTCTCTCTTAGTGCTGTTCCTTTTTTGTTCCACTAGAACGAGTTCAATGGAAACTAGTTCGTCGCAAGTAGCAGCCTTGCTTCACCGACTGTCGACATGAGCGCATAGATATTTGTACGATGACGAGGCTTATATGTCATAACATTTGGCTGGACCACTAACTTTACACTTATCTAGCTAATTTCCTCTAGAGCTTTGTCGACTTTTTTTGCTCAATTTCGTTAAAAGGGTTTTTTTAGTATGGCTAGAAAACTCTACATATAACCTATACAGATAGTACAATTTACGCCCATGGCAGACGTAATAGGAAGTCGTTATTGGTATCCGATGACACCGACAACTAATAAATGTACTTTTTGTAATGCCTGGCTAACCTTATCATTCTCGCATAAGACGTTTAACCATTTGCATGTTGCGTTTCGCAAGATCGACAAACGGGAAGTGTTTGCAAAAAGTGGCTTGCTCTAGAAGCCACTAACGGACTTTCTGTGTTTACAGACTTCAGTAACCATCATTTTCAGTGTCACCCGGTTATACGCGTTCCTACAGCCAGAGAGACAGGTCGAACCTAAATGCCCATAGACACGCATGTCATATGTAATAGAAGCCCTGGTCATAGTAGTGAGATTGGAAGCGTCCTGCCGGAGTACAGAGCACTACGCTGGTAGCCATGAAAGAGATGGTTGCAAACCATACAGCCCAGTATCTCGTGAGACGCACCTAATCTGTATATAATGATCATGCGTTTGGTCTCTCATAGCTCAGGGCCGTAAGATGCCGTCTTCATGGTCACAGAGGCGAAACCCTTCATGAAGATGGGTGTGGAAGGAAGCATACGACGCGTATGGGCCGTAGAGTGCAGAGCCTGGCTATGGATGGTGATGATTTTGAGGGATTTTTTGAACGATGACCCCTCTTAGCCTATCGGGTTCTCTCGGGAGGCAAACCTAGCGGAGTGCCTGTCATGATGAAGATGATGATCTAGATAAACATTTTGCTTCGCCACGCTTGCTAAAGGAACTTGCAGGTTAGAACCCAGAATTGCTCTAGAAAAATCATCCATATAATTCGATGAAGTGAAAGGATCGCCAGGCCGTGGCGAATTCAGTTTAGACATATCAAGTGAACGGATAGCGAACGTGCGAGTTTCCGCTACAAAACAGCTGTTCGTCGTGAGATTAAATAGATAATGAACCACCGCATAATACCAAGAAAAATATTGTTGGTTTTCTAAGATGACGTCATTTACACGGACTGTTTAAAGTACACGAAGTGCTTGACCCAATGTCCATGTTATACTGCTATCATATCAAGTCATGTTAAAATTAATACACTGTAGAGATAGAAACAATAAATCGTCACCCTTACGCAATTTTCGAAATATGGAAGAGTTAATATAGCTTTAAGCGTACTAAAGTGTGCTCACGCCTCCTCCAACCTAAGACTTACAGCCCGCGCTGAGTTACATTTAGTAATGACGAAGTACTTTAAAAGGATTGATAAAAAAAATCCATCAATACATACGTACTGATCGTAAACAAATACAAATTACGGAAATATTATTTGTCCACAAACTCATTTTTGCTCTTTTTTTAATTTGCCGTATAAACCTTAGCAAGATAACTGCAACTATTTTAGCCTTGCTGCACGATGTCGCACTTCAGTCCCAGGGGCGAAATCGATGTCGGTAAGATTCGAATTCTGCTTGGGGTAGTTGGATATAACGTTACTCTTACGGGTATGCTAATCAAAGCTGTTGCAACGAAGGGTAAGAACGGCGCGATTTGCGGTTATGCCTTACAGACTTTTTGGGTGGGGTTATCTGAGAGACTATCCTCACGGGAAGGAAATATGTTTCAACCCTAAACAAGCAGTGTTGACCGAGTGACGCCAGGATCAGCAATACAGATTTAGTACTATCACTATGGGGTTTACCAAGACAAACGCCGATGTGTAAGATTTCCTGTAATGCTTGTAAGTCTTGTAGGGGACCCGCAGCAAACGAGCCAGTTAGAAGAGCTAATAGCAGATTGTGTATGACATGCCGAAATAACTAGCTGACCCTCTTTTCCCACCAGTTGAATATCGGGAGCTTATGAAATTCAGTTTAATTTAATAGTATTATTACGTGATGAAAATATTAACTTTCTTATAAGTTGTAAGGTTACCAGATAGACATCAACAGACTTACATATGCTCCTGCTACATAGTCCTCTCAAGCTTAACAATGCAATGTAAGCTTAAGTGACATCAGGGTGCTTATTTACCAGATTATTGAGGTGTTCAAGTGGCGATAATACATAAGAAAGTATTACCCTAGATGCCGACGCTCGTAAGCAGTATTTATGCTTGTAAACATCCATACCGAACGTATGTCTAATTTATTCTAAATTTGGTTCATACATCAATACAACTAGGGGGTAATAACGTCATTGTGTCAATATTTATTTGCGATTTGAGGCTTTTTGCAGGCGGCCTTACATTTTCCGGTATCCATACGATATTAATATCTATAGTCGAAAGCTGATGTTAAGTCAAATCAACTAAACGTTACAAATTGCATTCTGTATCTGTTTATACCACATTGACGATCCCTAAGATGGGTGCTGAGACAAAAATTTTGATGTCCAAACACTAGTCAGTCGCGTACGCATACTTTTCCTGGCTTTCTTTAGCGCTTGGAGTTATAAGGAAAGATTTATCTTTGCGCGAGTTGGACGGAAGAGAAAGATAGCTAAAGCTTTAAAGGAGCCTGAGGGGGTGACGTTAAGAATTTACTTACAGTGTTATGGTACCACAGAAAGTCTCACATACGAGAAGTTACTTCAAATTGAGGCCAAACCTTAAACCTCAAAGAACTTAGCTGACACCAAGCTGCATCTCAAGCTACGACATACGGCAGTGAATCTTTCTATGGATTAAGTATAGAGGAATGTACAGGGGGAAAAGACTCAAAGAATGGTGAAGTGATTGGTACAGCCACGAGGGGAACGCTATGGGATAGGGGTTATAAAATTCAAAAACCAAAAATAATCGTTCATAGTCGAAAGAATGGCATGAGTCATAAGACGTGGTAAATGGAAGAAAATTTGATAATATGTAGAATTGATAAGATAGTTAAACCGATCAACCTATGGGATTATGTACCATAAAAAGTTTGTAACACTATAAAATTTTCTACTGAACGTTCTCTTTGAATATATCGGCAGGGCAGAATATTATTGCTTGTTTTATCCTGCAGGTGTTGGCGAATCTTGGTACCGTTAATTATATTTTGCAAGAAAGAAGGTGCACGGCAGTTACCACGCTTTTCATCTCATGTCTTCTCTATCGCACAGCCGATATCGGCCTAGCCGTGAACATCTGTCAGTCAACTCTAAATCAGCGTGCCCAAAAAGTCATAACAGATATTCACGCCTGATGCTTGCCTACGTTTCCACATGTTGCTTCGCTTCGATACACTTAAGGCAGCGTCAACTTAATCTGCCCATTTTTTGAGCCAGTTAACGCCAATCGACCTTTATGTCTTAACCCAAAATTCCTGTACATTTCTGGTAAACTTTACTCGCGTTACCATTATTCTCGACATTTACGGAGCGAAGAAGAATAGAATTGATTGCTGTCACCGACAGCCTGCCATCCATTACACTAGCGGAATCGACCACTGCAGTAAAAACAAAAATACTCGATTTTCCAAAATACCTTTCGAATTAGCTATGAATCGAAGCTGAAAGCTCAGAAGCTTATGTTTCCTTCGTAAATTTGAAATCATCATGGAGTTACGATAAGAACGTTTTGCCGAACATATAAGATAAATTGAGCAATGGTTGTGTATGTCACACAAAGATAAAAATTTATATCGCCATTGTCGCTTGATGATACACTCAATCCTTTGTTCCCAAGCGACACATGGCCTCGCAAACGGAGACGAAACATACGATGTATTTTTCAATACGAGATATAAACCAACAACGATTGTACCAGCATGTCCGATTGTATTTTCTCTCTATCGCGTTTGCAACGTGGAACTGGCCAGTTCTTGACATTTGGTTGCTGAAAATGTCGTTGTTCAACCCGAATTTATAGCCTATTTGATTCTAAATCCGGTGATGACACAGGATAGACGGATATTGTTGCCAGACATTTGTATGCTAGCTATTGCTCTCTTCGTTTCGTAAACAATTTAGTAAAACTAATGCGTGATATTGCGAAAAAAAGTAATCAGAATTCGCAATGATGTCTAAGAAATGAAATATATGTATTACGAATTAACGAAGCTAAGAAAAGTATGTTTAACTGCTTTCCCAAAATGTTCCTATTAACGCTAGTTACGATCACTGCTTCGGCCATTGGAAATCTCTATTATTGTTGTTGTTTGTGCTTTTGTGCTTCATTTCACTTAGGTTGAAGCGGAACGAAATGACCCAGAATATGCACAGAATTTGTGATACTGCACACGATACATAACATGGATTAACTCGTTAACTAAAAATATTATTATATATATATATATATATATAATAATAAAATAATAATAAAGGTATAAAAAATATTAACTTCGTATTTGGAAATGCCGCCACTTTATAAAGGTTCGACATTTTCAGACACTTTTTTAGTTCACTGGTACTATTCTGTTGAATTTGAGGCCTTTAGACGGATATAATCAGTCATTCGGACTTTTAGCAGGC